GTTATTTTTACAGCAGTTGATTGGATCTTGCGTTATATAACTACTGTAGTCCAAGCCTGAATAGCGGCAACCAAATTTCAATTATTAATTTAGCTTATTATCTCTGTCAGCATCAAATTGTTATATAAAACAAGTACTGCAATTATTATACGTTTGGACGAAATTAAATTAAATATGTAAATTATAGTATAAATATTTTTAAACAAGAAGATCATATCTTAGATATTCATATTTTAAAGCATTCTCGGCTGGCATCGACTTCAAAAATATCTGATTCATATCTTAAAATATTGTCGGCTGGCACCGACTTCAAAAATATCTGATTAGGTATCTTTTCTAAATGAAAACCCCCGTTTAGTTATTTTTTTAAATTTTAGCGCCTGGAAGTCGGTTTTTTTTAAGTTTTTTTTTTGCTTTAAATAACATTTTAATTTGTTTTAATTTCTTTTTTATTCTTAGGTTCATTCGCAATTAATAATTGACAATTAGCTAATCAAATAAAGTACTTACAAGGTGTTTCAAACTTTGTAAGAAAAAATGGTTTTGTACATTATAATAAATAAAGCAGGAGATTTAAAAATACATTTTTATTTTACTATTAGCAATACCAAAAGGTACCTATCTTATTTTTTATATATTAATAGCATTGCCCGCCGAAAAATCAAATTCTTAGGTTTTACATATTAGTATACTCTTACATTGTAGTTTTTGTGTTTTTTCTCAGAAATGAGATATTTTCCAGCGGTAAAAAGTATCCTATATATTGACCCGGATAACCAGCTATCACTATACCAAATTTCATTAAAATCCCTCCAGTGGGTTTTCTGTGATGCGGTAACAGACAGACAAAAATCCTAAAAACTATAAATTCGGTCTCTGTATCAATAATAATGTTTATTTCAATAAGATTTTCCAAAAAAATATTTAATGTACAGATTCGACTTGGTTACAATTTTATTATATGTATAGATAGATTATCATTAAATTATAAGTTCAATTTAATTCAATTCTTTGTTATTTGGTTTTTAGGCGTGCCAGTTGGACACAGATTACTTCGCCAATGTCATGTAGAATGGAGAAGACACGCTATACATAAGGTATTAACCGGTTAAAAAAAAGATATTCACACTGAAGTCTCTTTACATATAAAATAGTAGCAATTAATTGTATGATCTGGATACATTATAAGTTAAATAAGAAGTAGACTAGCTGTCATTAAATGAAAGTAAAATCTTATGCATTAAAACTTCATGCGTGAAACCTATATTGCCCGTTTCATCAGATAAAACTAATATAACCGTCTACCGGAACTTACTGCGTTATTTAATTAATTTCAATATTTCTATCTAAATATCTACCGTGTGGCAATTTTTATTTTACGTTCGATATATTACTCGTATGTATAAAAATGTGAACAAACATTTTGGATGGAACGAAAATATTTTTTACTAGCGTAGGTTGATTCCGCATACTGACTTTCATCGCCATTTTTACCCTCTTAAGGGATGATTTCTGAGATAAAGAGCATCCTATGTCCTTTCCAGGATCTTAAACTATATTCTTACCAAATTTCATCTAAATCGGTTCAGTAGATCCAGAGATTACCCCCACAATGTCACAAACTCACAAACTTTGCCTCTGTATAATATTAGTATTGATTATATTTCCGATATCCAACATAAATATTTACATACTTGTATTATATGTTTATATATGTTGGGACATTAACACACAGCACCTTCTAGTTCCATGGTAAGCTACGAGGCTTGTGTTATGGATACCAGATCGTTGATACATTACACATAATATATAACTTTAAATAGATACATGACTAGAGTACAAAGGTTCGTGCTCATCACACAAATGAATGCCCCCAACGGGACTCGAACCCGCGACCACTGGCACAACAAGTAGTGTCGCTACAAACTGAGCCAAACGTCGTCAGTTATTATATTTTACGAAACACAACCCTTTTCCCTCTTATTCTACACAGTTTGTTACCAAAAATTCATATGATACCGGTAGCTAATATTAGTTGATAATTTTAGAAAGTAATATGTTATAGTATTATACGTATGTTATACATTTTTTAAACGTACCTATATACCTATGTTAAAGTCGATAATGTTACTTGTTTTTATATATATATTAAAAATTGACGACGTTGATATAGATACTCGTAGCTATGGCACAAAGGGCATTATCTAATATCAAAATCTTTTAATAATTAGACTGTGCCACGCAATATATTATCATGTCGCAATCTCAGTTAATAAAGGTAGTGATTATATAATTAACTATAGGCCCGACTTCGTTGTAATCGCTATCTTCTATTCCACGGGAAAAAAACGAGAAAAATCCACATCTTTTTTAAAACAAAATCCTTTCCGACAAGAAAAAATCGCGTTAAAACATCAACAAGTTGGTTGTCTTTACTTCCTATCCTTTTCCCTTTTTCATAAACGGGATAAAAAGTAGCCTATATCCGGTTTTATTGTTGTAAATACAAATTTTAGGTATATTTTAAACTTTTGTAAGGGCAAATAAACATATGAGTCCAATATGGGATAGATATTTTAAAATCATGGACTATTTTACCTATTCATAAAGAAATTATATTACAGTAGACAATCTAACTATCAATCTAACTGCTTCTATTCTTTAAACTACAGTATTTCTGAAATGCTTGTATTGATACGAACGTAAGCTTGGATAAGTACTAAAATTTAATTAAACGTGCAAAAATTTAGTGCTCACATTTAATTTTCAACGAGATGATGAAAGAAAAACTAAACATGACATGAAGACAGTACTGAATTTTTAAACCCGTACACAAAAATATTAATATATCCATACGAATAAGTTTTACACAAGAAATGTAATCACAAAATTGCTTAAAAATATATTAATATTACTAAAAGCCAATGCTATTTTTATAAGAAGCTGAAATACTCTACATAAAGTGGCTTAATGTAAGTGGAGTAACCCTTTTTACTTCGTAATTCGCAATATATATTTCGTAATATATGTCCGGTCGAAATATATACATACATACAGTCTCACGCGCTTTATAATTTTATATAATTAAAAAACATGTCCCGACCACATTCACCTCACCGCTTACCGGTTGCATGCTTATCCCCAATTTACTATACAACTATATCTATCACTGATATCAGCATTGGTATAGCCATTTCACAATATGCAGTGACTTGAATCAAATCGCTTTAAAGGTTTTTGGTTGACTTTGTAAAGAGGTATTGTGTTCGATGTTTAGATATTTTTTACGTGGAAAAGGTATAACGATTACTCTAATGCCATTGGGCCGATTTGCGTAATATTTTTTCCATCTTGCTTGGTTGTCGTGTGCAAAATTGGTATGGGTATTATCAATATAAAACACACTTAGCAATGCAAAAAATATAAAAAAATATAAATAGGCATAGGAAAATATCAAATGTACTATGTATGTAGTAGTTGATAAAAATATTTTTTTTACTTTATAATAGTTTATTATTTCTAAATATTTTGGCTTTTTAATTTTATTTTTGGTTGTCTTACTTAGCTGGCACCATCTCCAAAAAATATCTCATTAGGTATCTATTGGTAATGAATAAATGATAATCCCATTCAGTTATTCAAGTTCTTACTCTCATAATATACTATGAAGTCAGTTAACGTTTTTTTTAAATCTGATTAAAAAAATGTTATGATAAAATATCTAAATTTAATGTATAATAATACCTATTAAATATTAATACATAATTAATAACACAAAGAATTTGAAAAATATGTATTCAGCCCTTTTTAACGTCCCACTGCTGGGCACGGGCCTCCCTTAAGTACGAGGGGAATTTGAAAAATATACTTTAATAAAAACCTGGCTTCGTCCGTGTAAGAAAAATTTATGCACATGCACAATATCGTAGGGAATTCTAGATTACTGATTATGTGGTGATTTGATTACTGGCATAATGACTATGAAATGGTTAGCAATTTTATAACGTAATTACATCTATGGTCGATGTAACTTTCTCATTAGGGGACACCAACAAATTGTTTTGCCACGTCATAAGCTTACAGGAAATAACCGCATGACGTTTCCAAAACCGACACGGATAAGGAAATTATAATGGAAGTGCCTGAGAAAAAAATACAAATCTTTCAACGAAACGTTTGATCATTGAGCCTTTGCGCTCGCGTTTGCTCTCATTTACCCGAATTCAACAAATGTCAGAAAACGATTTATATTATTTTGCTCTGTTGTATTTTTAAATCTATACATATAATAAAATTGTAACTAAGCCGAATCTGTACATTAAATATTTTTTGGATTTTTTTATTGAAATAGACATTATTATCGATACAGAGATTCGGGATCTATAGTTTTTAGAATTTTTGTCTGTCTGTCTGTCTGTTACCACTGGAGGGATTTTGATGAAATTTGGTATGATGATAGCTAGTTATCCGAGTTAACATATAGGATACTTTTTACCGCGGGAAAATATCTCATTTTTGAGAAAAAATACAAAAACTGCAATGTAAGAGAATACTAATATGTAAAACCTAAGAATTTGGTGTTTGGTCATCTGAACGCGGGCGGAGCTGCGGGCAATGCTAGTTAGTTCTATTATATTGATTTAGTTTTTGTTATACTTATTCAAGTGTATGTATAATCTGGATATGTAAATCTCACTAGACAAATCACAATAGCCATTTTACTGATCCTTTTTTTCTTCAAAACATTTTACGCCTGTTGGAAAGGTGAAAAATTCGGCCAAATTCTTAAGAAGATAACCGAAGACTTATTAGAAGGCAATGAATTGGAAGAAGATTATCAAATGACATATGAATATTATATTAAAATCGGCAAAGTCGGTCAAACTTGTTGGATTTTTATTCCGATTTTGTTAAGTTCACAATTTCCGCTATACGCTGCAACAGCTAATATATATGAAACTTAAAAAAGTGATGTTGGAAAGAGATATATGATTCATGAAATGGAGCTTAAATATATTGAGGATAAACAAAATGATACACCTTATTTCGAAATGGTGTTTGCTTATAATTTTATGAGCATTATAGTGTTGGCGCCAAATTTTGTTGGTTTCGATGGTTCATTTTGTATTGCAACAAACCACTTACGTCTTAAGCTAAAAATACTCGCCCACAAAGTCAGTCTGGCTTTCAGAGATGCAAAATCTAGGGGTGAGATAGAAATTAAATTAAAAGAAAGTATTAAGGACCATCAGGACGTATTGGTGTTTTACAACGACATCCAAGAAGTTTATGGCGGATGGTTATTTGCAGCTTTTCTACTGACTTCTATTGTAATATCATTGAATATTTACCAAATACAATTAAGTAACTATAAAAAGCTGTGCATACTTTTAAATTAAATTTATATACAAATAGATAACATTATAATGTTATATTGTTTTTTTATTATTACATTTATTAATACATGTTTTATGAAAATTTAGTTAGTAAGCCTTTATAATAAATAAAATAAATACACACTTTTATCGTCTCTATGCTCTATTTTCAAGTAAACAGACAATCTTTACGTTTTTCTTGACTTTCTATTATTCCGAAATTGAACCCACGACATTCGTGGCACACGCGGCACATCACATCCCACCGCATCACGGGATGAGAGTAAGAACATGAATAAAATAAAAACTATCTTACATAATTATATAAAGACCCGGATTTAACTGAAGAGCACCGGGATTGTAGGCCCTCAGTTCCCACTAAAGAAATTTCTACATAAATTAATTGTTTTCTTGAAAAACTAATAAACCATTGTCTAAAGTGAAATTCAAAGGGGCAATTTTTATCTTTTAAGAAGAATATCGTAATCTGCTGCGTAATCGTTATTTGCCGCCTTTAAATTCCAGTGTTGCGGATAATGCTCGAAACAGTCTTATTCGGCGCGACCGCTCGAACTACAACTGATAGAAAAAACAAAATTTTAAATATTCTCATTTTTTCATTTATCTAAATTTAAATTTATTTTCTGTAGTATTTTTTTTTAATTCATTAGAGTGTTGAATTATGATGTAATATTATTATTTTTTATTCTAAACTTAATAAATAGACAGCCATGCCTCTAAAAGGCATAAGTTAAGGGACAAGCCACAGGCGGAAACTAGTATAATAAAAAATTATTTCCTATTTATTTCTAGACTAGTGAACAGTTAAGTCGGGACTTGTATGGAGCTGCATGGGAAGAATGGCCTGATCCAGTTCTGCGAAGACTTCTTATGTTTATGATAACAAAATCTCAGCAAACATTTATTCTAACTGGGAATGGCCTAGTATATTTCAACATGCAGCTTTTTATATGAGTTTTACAAACATCCTACTCTATATTCACGCTTATTTCGAATTAAATCAGTATAGCAATTTATACCTCCGCTGTAGAGAAAACCTTATATGAAAATGTTTAGGATTTGCACAATAAATAAAGAAGCACATAATATAAGCCATATGTATCTTTTATTTTATTTATAATAATTAAATATTAATGAAATATGAACAAAAATCTTCTGTGGATTATTTAATAAAACGGTTTTCAGTCAGTCTTTTCAATACTATGTTAATTCACCAAATAATCGAGCCGTTTAAAGCAACAGAAAAAATATATATAAAAATAAAAAGAATAAATATATATATATATATATATACGTACATTTATTTATGGCTAAAACGTCTCCACGGCACTCTACTAATAATAAAAAAATGAGCAAATCATAATATTTTCCAAATATTCATAAAAATAATCATTTTGAAAACATGTTCCGACAACCATGTTTCTTACGCTAAGTAATAGCGAGGCATATAAATTAGCATTTTATCTTTACTTTCGCTTCCAACTGTACAGTAATATTATAGTATCCAGACAGACAGAACAATAAAAATTTTAGTTTCATTTACTCTATTAAATAGAGCTATTAACACTTTATAGCAAATAGTGTGTTAAATTAAATGTGTAATTTCACATTAGACGCACTCGCGACGAGATGGTTTGTAACGTAACGTAACGTGAGTGACTCTATCTATGTTCATTCGTTATATAAAATGTATCTACGAGTATTTATTAGTTTACGATAATATAGTATAAGAAAATGGTATTATTATTATTTTTTTACCTAAATTCATGTTTATTAATGAGACATTTAATGAGATGTAACAAAAAAAGAAGATCAGTACTTGACTATCTCGCAAATCAGCCCTGAACAAGAAAAACTAGCGATGGTTAATTTTTAAAACGGGTGGTTATTCAGCAAAAGACCACTTGATGTGTCGAGATAAAGAGAGAGAGAGAGTTTTCCCGCCTCTTTATATTTCTCCCTCTATCTCTATCTCTTTCTATCTACAATCCATAAACTGTTTCTATGCATAATATCACGTCGATACCTTGCTTCGTTACACCGTGAAAGAAGAACAAAAAACAACTAGCGACTCACCCGCGCTTCGCTCGGGCCCACCCCTTGCTTGCTTCCCAATACAAACTTTTATTCCTATTTTCACCCCCTTAAGGGATGATTTCCGGGATAAAAAGTATTTTATGTCCTTGACGGGGTCTCAAACTATCTTCCTACCAAATTTCATTACAATCGGTTCAATAGATCCAAAGATTACTCCCTACAACGTCACAAACTCAGAATATGACAAACTCACAAACTTTACCTCTTATAATTAGTATAGATTGTAATATACATTAGTAAGGATTCCAATACCTGTCCAAAGAGAAACGTGTTATACTATAATATCATAGTTTCTTAGACTTTGGTATGACTAAAAGATCCTCAGTTCCAGAACGCTTACATAAAAGGTAATTAAAGCAGTTAACCATAGAGCGTGGCATCTCTAAATTTGTTTTTTTCTAACGTTTAGCCATCTTCTAAAACTGTTATATTAAGAATTTTTACTTTTCATAATATTATTATTATCAATATACCGTCACTACATTCTTTGTTTTAAAATAGGAAATAAGAAAAAGAGTCGGCTACAGATATTTATTTATTATCTACTGGTAAAAGAAAAACCGGATGTAAACAATTTAGTAGGAGATTTAAAGAATGTGGCCAATATTGAATATTTTCTTTTATATCATACGGAAAGCCAGTTAGTATAAACGGTATATTAATTATGTGCGCACACGCATCTTTTGCTTCCACTTATTACATCAGCGTTGAGATAATTTCCGCCTTATTTTTCTCTTCACTTAATTTGTTATATTTGTCTTATAAATTCTTAAATGGATTTTATGATATAATGTACGTTATATTAAATAATTAGCTATGTATGCTTATAAAATTATAGTGTCTGTCTGTCATTGTATAGCATATATCTATATAGATAGAAAGGTGCTTTTGCCCAAAACCTCAAATCTCTGAAAGCTCTATATCAATTTGACAACACGTTTGGCTCAGTTTGTAGTGACCCTACTTGCTGTGCCAGCAGTCGCGGATTCGAATCCCGCTGGAGGCATTCATTTGTGTGATAAGCACGAATGTTTGTACTCCAGTCATGGGTGTTTATATTTATAATATGTATGTATTTAAAGTTATATATGTGTAGTGTATCAACTATCTGGTATCCATAACACAAGCCTCTTAGCTTACCATGGAACTAGATGGTGCTGTGTGGTAATGTCCCAACATATTTATTTATTTATTTATCAATAGCTTTGTGAATTTTCAACATTTATAAATGTTTTATATGAAAAAGGTTTTAATACTATCTACTTTGCTGTAACTGGTCACGTGACGACGCTGAAGTGCATTAACTTCACCATGAAATTTAGTGCATATGGGTATTTGAGTAAATAAAACCTCAGGCATAAGTAAGTAAATAATATATGTATATTTAAAATAATAAATAAGTTTATTGTGCCTAAGAGCTCATTAAAACTTAACTTTTAAATTATTTTTTAGAATTTTTTTTTAATAGATAATAGTGTATATATTAGTGAAAGAACAATTCATTTAGTTTTATGATGGTCAGTTGTGAGAAAATAAACTAAAAGAGAATATCTGCTGATGTAGATACAATATATGCTAACGCTTGCTAGCTTCGCGATTTGTATAACCATATTAAGCCCCATTTCACCAACGTCACCAAAGTTTAAGGGATCCCCTAAGCACGGTTAGGGGGCTGTTAGGGGACAGTTTCTGTTTCACCGACAGTTAGGGGTCACCTAAACGTTAAAAGGCCCCCTAAATTTAGATGCTCGAAATATGGGCTTAAAGACGATTGTAAAAGGAAATTTAATTTAGGGGCTAGTTTAGGGGAATTTTAAGCTAGGGATCCCATACGTAGGTGGTAGCTTATGGGTTGTTGGTGAAATCGGGCATAAGACAAATAACTCTATTTTCTAACCCTACTGTCACCTTTCATTCATTACCTGCTGTTGTAGTAGAAATTTTTAAATCATCTAGATTTATTCACGTAATAAACAAGTTATATTACACGTTATTTATTAATTTCCAAATCTAAGCAGTTTAAATAGAAAGCAAAAAATAAGAAAAATCAATAAATACTAGATCTGGTATCAGATGAGATATCTTGGTTTTTTTTGATGTAATAGTCGTTTGTAAGCAAGTATCGAGTAAGATACTTCCAATTATGTATTTCCGATGATTTCTGAATTAATATGGTTGCTCGCTTCATAAAAACTAGAGCAGACACAAGGAAGAAAGTATATGAATATTTATTTAAATGCATCGTGTGTTTATGTATAAATTTATTGTATTAAATAAATTATTGAATTTTCATATTATTTTTAGTCAAGTCACGTCAAAGACAGTATTTTTTTTAAATATAAACCATAAACTTTCGAATCTATTTACCAAATACCGACATGTATACCGAAACCGACATGTTTTTTGTTTTTTTTTTGTTTTTGTTTTTATCTAATACGAGGCTGTGATGGTCTGTAAGTGGAAAAGCATTTAATTAATGTACTAATAGAATATTTTTATGATCTTATAGTAATTTATATTCTGTGGACGATCCTAAATAAAAAAAATTAAAAAAATAAAAATGTATAGAAATCCCCTTGACCCTTTGATAACAAGAAACGTATCTAGATCGAACGTAATAAAGATAAATTTCCTAGATTAGTTTAACTCTACATGCTGTATGTATATCGCTTATACATACAATGTATACCTTAGTTTAAAATAAGATAATATATAAGACCATAATTTCATATACATGTATATTATAATAGTAGTAAAGTAGATACTGTTCTGACGTAACGGTAGCACCCGCGTTAGGTTAGCGCGGCCGTCGAGAGCAAAAGTGTCTGGCGACCCTGACTCCCCTCCGCTTAGCGTGGGGGTACCACCACCAGCTCCATTCACCTTCGCGTATACCGCTCAACACAACCAATGACCGCCCGCCCCGAGCCGGCGAAAGGTTTTATATACAAGTGGAATTCGCACTGCCAAATTGCTATAAGTCAAAATATAGGGTAGTCGGGCGGTTCTCTCGTTCGTACCCTACCGTCAGGCGTGTATTCGATAACTTTAACGTCGACCACGAAGGTGCGTGCGTGCACATGCGAGCTCGGATTGAGGGCCTACAACACGTGTAACAAATGCGCAGTATAGTGCCTTTATTATAGTATTAAAGAGGCAATAAGACTGTGTAAAATGGGGTGCAGTGTGAAGTACTGTTTATTGGCTCTGTCCTTGTGCCTAGTGACTGAACTTGTCTTTGGTGTGAGAGTGATGCCCAAGAGGAAGAAAGGTAATTTTTTTTATTTTTAATTAAAAAAACAATTTTAATAAATTATTTCTGCTTTTTTAATAATTAAATGCATAATATTTTATTTAATTGTTCAATTCGAACGCAAACAAAGCAAGCTATCCATTCAAATATCGATTAACCTAGACGATGATGCACTTTCGCATACCTAAGTCTATTAACTAGTTGTTTTATTGCGAATATTGCATTAAATAATCCTTTGATCTAAATAAATTTGATACACTTGGAGTCATGTCCGTGGTGAACCACGGAGTGTAATCATATGATCATTGGGCCGGTTTCAAACTGACAAACCAGTATGGTGTCAACAGCCTCGTAAACAAAACAGTCCGAATGAAACGCTCCATGCTAATATATAAAACAATATTATAGAAACTTTAAAGTAGTTAAAAAATTCGGAAAATGATTAAAATACTTGCTTAAATGTTGGTATTTAATGTACGTATCAAGCGAGGTAACTTGCTAAAACTAAATATTCATATTTTATGAAGGTCAAGTGAAAAGAATTTAGTCGAAAATTTTATCTGTTTAATTTTATCTGTAAAACTGTTTTAATGGTGTTAAA